GGAGGAGAAGCCCCAAAGTCACTGAGCTGACGGGTGGGGGTGGGCTTGGGGGACTCACTGTCGGAGTTCGGCCTTGACCGCGCTGGACACCCGGGGGTAGCAGACAGAGAAGAGGCCGCAGGCCGACGTGCGGGAGGTGAACCAGTCGCCGCCCGCCAGGCGCTTCACCAGCGGCACGAAGTGGGCCTCGAGGTCCGAGGGCGAGTGCTCGTGTGAGATGGCCCGCAGGGACTCCACCGCCTTGTCCCGAACCACCGTCTCCTCCACCGTGGCCAGCGACTCCAAGGGCGGCTGCGCACAGAGCACGGGTCACGGCCCAGCCTCCCTCCAGCACCCCCACAGGTCTGCCCTGCAGTTCTTGCTCTCAAACACCCAGAACAGCGGCAGTGACTGACTCTAGGGGGTTCGGGCCTAACTCACGGAGGGGTACCGGGCAGGTCTTGTTACTGCTCTTACTCTACAGAAGGGGGAACTGAGGACTAGGCCCCCGTGCGACCAGGGAAGGCCCTGGCTGTCCATCCCCCCTCTGGGCTGGCCCCCAGGACCCCAGGTTTGACCAAGGAAGGACTTGTCCTTCTGGGCCCCCAGGATCCTAGATGTGGCCGAGGAACATTCTGCCCCTCCAATCCCCCTTCCTGCTGACCCCCAAGTCCCTAGGACAGGTGACCAGGGAAAGCCCTGTCCCTCTGGTCCCCCAGGGCCCCGGGTGTGACGGGGGAGGCCCTATCTGCCCTGCAGACTCACCAGCAGGCAATGCACGAACTCCGGGCCCCCCACCAGGGTGGTGAAGGTCCCGAGCTGCTCCGCCAGGGCCAAGAGGACTTCATCTTCATCATAGATGGTGTCTGTGGGAACCAGGACGGAGGCTGTGACAGGAGCACCGAACCCAGCTCACCCCGTCATCACAGCTTGGAAAGAGAGGTGCCCTGTGCGCCACCATCTGTCAGGACCATGGGCCCACAGAGACAGAACTGAGTGATGGGGGCGTGCCCCAAGATGAATGACAGCACTCGGTGGGCACAGGGTACAGGAGACCCCATTTACAGGGTGCTGTGTGGACCCCATAGGGCCTCATCCACAAAGCAAGGCCGCCCCGCATTCGACAAACGTATCAGCCCTATCCTTCCACAGCAAGTGCTGGCTGTCTCGGTGTCCCTTTTGGGACTTGAACCCAGGCCCCCGATGCCAGCGTCTCTGCTCTGACATCTCCCCGACAGACGGTCTGCTTCTGCCTGCACAGATGTAGTTTCTCTGCATCCAGATCCCCGCACGAAGCGGCTGTCCATTCAGCAGGCCCCCCTGCGGCCAGCAGCGCCTGCCACGAAGGCCCAGCTGCTGCAGCTCCCCCATACCTGGTCCCCGTGCCCGGTCCCACCCCATGCAGACCCCAGAAGCCCACCGGTACCTGTGAGGAAGGGCAGGAGCTCGCTGCGGGTCCTCTCGACACCAAGGGCCAACGCGATGGTGGACAGCTTCTTGATGCTGTTGAGGCGAAGCTGAAGAGAGGACAGAGGAGAGGGGGGTCAGAAAGGCTCCAGCGGACGGCGGCCTCCAGCAAGGCAGGGCTCAGCCGTGTCGGGGTCTGGCCAGGAGCAAGTCACAATGTCACGGACAGAGAAGGAACGCCTTGCAGACGTCAGGGCTGCGAGGTGCAAACTCCAGGAAAGAAAACTGCAAATTCTCCCCACGGAAGGAGTGGACACTCTGTCCCCCTTTGAGCTGGTTCCAACTTGTGGCAAGCAGCCACCAAGCATCAGAGGCCGTAATCTCACCAGGAAGGGTGGACACTGGTGATTCAAACCGGCAGACTCTTGGTGTTTAGCCTAACAGAGGCACACTCCAGACTATGTCACCATGGCCCCTCTCAGACACTGACAGGTGTCCTGAGACCTGGACACGCAATGCAGCCCCAGGCACTCTGGCCCTTGGGGGTCTCACTGTAGCACATTCTGCAGACGGCACCTTTCATCTAACATTAGTGGTTCGGGACCAGACGGCGTCAGCAGATCTACCAGCCACGTTCCAACAGCAGGTGCTCACCTGGGGCCTTGAGGTCCCCCTGCCTGGGTCACCCTTCCAGTCTCAGCTCTTGCAGGATGCCAGCTCGCAGGCTGTCCCCGTGAGTGTCACACTCTGGGAAACCAGAACACCCTCGCTATCCTGTGGTGGTCTGGGACCGGACGTGGGAGGGGTCCGAGGACTGTCTGCAGGAACCTCCAATGGCCACCAGGTGATCCCACCACCTGAGTCACCAGGTAACGACAAGGGGCTCTGGGACCGACTCACTGGATGACAAGGGCAGTGGGGGCAGCAGCACAGGGGTTTGAGTGAGCTGGCATCTGCTGAAAAGCATTTCTCCAACCAAGTGTCCCCACGTCCTATCCCCTTCTCTGTGTCTTCCCTCTTGTACTCTGTACCCTCTAATACACCATCAGAGTCCTGGATGGTGCAGAAGGTTTAGTGGAAAGGTTGGTGGTTCAAATCCACCCAGAGGCAGCGTGGTTTAAGGCCTGGTGACGTAACTGAAAAACATGCCCTTAAACCCTCCGGAACAGCTGCACTCTGGCGCACGGGAGCCCAGAACCGACTCAACGCCAGGTGGTTTGAAACAGGTGTTAGTGTCGTATGCCATCGAGTCAGAGCCAACCCAGAGCTGTCCCTCCAGCAGGTTTTCAGAGGCGGTAAAATCACACGGGAGGAGACTGTCCCTCCATCTCCCGTGGAGAAGCTAGTGTATTTGAACAGCGTACCTCTGGGTTGGCAGGTCACCTCCTTACCACGAAGCCACCTGAGCTGGTCCCTGACTTATGACAGAGTTCTGTTTTGACAAAACTACTATAAACTCAACTCAGCACTGGCGCTGACTCACAGCTGACCCTCCAAGGCTGAAAACTGCCTGGGAGACGGCCCTCCTTCCTCCCACAGAGCAGCTGGTGGATCTGAACTGTCGGAGGCACCACAAGCCCTACGGACCGCGCCCCAGAGCTCCCTAACAAGTCAGTCCTGACAAAAGCTGTCGTGTGCGTGGAGTCAGCACCGACGCAGAGCTGACCCTCCAGCGGGTTGTGAGAGGCTGTAAATCACATGAGGGGAGACTGCCCGTCCTTCTCCTGCAGGGCAGCTGGTGGATTCGAACTGTGGGCCTCCGGGTTGACAGTGCAACTCCTTAACATGAGCTGAGCTCCCTGACAGAAGCCGAGAATCTCATTTTTTAAAAGGCTCTTGTTATTTTCTTGTACTGTCAGTTTATAAATCCCAGCCTTTGTCTTCAGGGGTTGTGAGAATTATACATAAATTTACGAATGTGATGACATTAGCGTATTACACACTCCACAGTTGTATATAGTATGTGTTATAAATTTCACGAACGTGTTACTAACTATAAACTGTACCCGAGTGAGAGGGGAAAGTGGGGTGAAGGATGGGGTGGTCCTGGGACTGGAGGGAGGAGTACTAGGGGAGCACGGAGCTGTTGCTGGAGAGGATGGCCTCCCCCCC